ATCACTACTGTCCATGTTGAAATAAGTGATTTCATGAGAAATTACCCCTTCAACCTCAAAAAGAACATACATTCAGGTCAGTTATACGATCGATCAAGTAATAAAGACTCCAGATCTGCAATTTGTGCAGAACACTGGCGATATGAGGAAAGTGTTGCTATTTAGTTATCTTTTAAACCCAAATATACGAATCTTTAAAACACTTGCGATCAATCGAAAAATCTTATTTGCACCAATATTAGTGTTTATTTTTTGAAAAGTTAACCAATTTTGTCTTTAAACAAAAGATCGATCGAATTATTGTCTGTAATGTAATAATACATATTTCATCATATATTTACATGCAAGAAACTTATCTTCTTTCCAATGCAATTGTTATATGTCACAAGATACAGAGGAAGTACACATCTGCTTTTTATGCCGGAGAAGTATTCGATTATCAGGGTTATCCTGATCAGACTGTAAATGACCAGTCAAACAACAGTTGTATTTAAACTAATCTTACCGTGGCTTATTTTGAATTTGGGGTCGTATGTTACAAGCTACATGCTTGTTAGAATTTCAGAATTGACGTCAATCGCTCTTTACAAATGCTATCGATCAAGGAACTCTATCCTCTTTCCTCGTTCCTGAACTTTTCATTATTTGCAAATTTCAGTAACAGGAATGAGGAAAGAGTTATCAAACATCACCCTTCTGTACACGATTGAAAACATACGATAATGCGTCGAAGCAATGACACTTCGCGGTCAGCACTAAATTTGTATGGCACATCGTTTGTTTGGAATAAGCCGACATGGCTGTTCGAAATAGCCCGACAAGGGTGTTCAGACAAGTCGACAAGAGTTGAAAACCAATTATGAAAATTTGATGATATGAAATATCGATTAGCCAAAGGAATGGGTGGACAGGACTTACTTGCCTTTCATGTGTACGCGATTCCCACCGATAGGTTCTTTGTTAGTATTGCATATTGCTCCATATTATAAAACACAACAGGATTTAGGCAGGATATGGTGTTAGCTGTTCGGTAATACCCGATACCGCACTATGTCTTAATTTAAATGTCGAATTTTACTGGGAGTATTGAATTTGAAAAAAAACAAAATGTTTCATTGTGATCACCGGTATTTTTGCTGTTGGTGTTTGATCGAATCACCAATGGTCGTTCTGAAACATCGTTGATGAACCGAGAATCGCTGAGAATGTTTTGGAACCAAGAATCGCTGGTAATATTTTGGAAAGCAAGACTTTTCAGCCATACATATTGCAGAGTGTACACAAAATACGTCACACGTATGTCGGTTATGTTTCGCCCATTACACCACCACTATAATTCAATATCAGTTTCCTTACACGAATGCCTGAATTCCTCATACAATAGAATCCTATCTTCGGTCACGTGAGTTTTTTTCGTTGAAATCAGACGTCATTCGAGCGCGTGGATTTGTGGGCGTTTCGCCTGTTCCTGTCAACACAACAAGTTTGTTGTTTTCCAGGTCGTACGTATACAGGCGATCGGCAATAATCAACTTGTCAAATCGTAGATACGCACGTTCATCCTTATCCGCATCCATCATCGCCGGCTTCAGTTTTCTTCAGTCTTCACTGATCTACATATCTGGTGCCCTTAAGATTCTTAGCTGATGTGAGTATGTTTAGTCGATCGTGATGAGAGCAACTACCGCTTTCCCGTTGATTATTCTGTGAAACACCAAGCTCGAAGTCGTTTTTCATGATGTCAATTCAAGCTTAAAGCTTGTGGTCCAGATAATTTGTGTGAAATTGTATTGAAAGAATGCAAAGAATAATTAGCTGTCATATTCCAAAAGATATTTCAAAATTCAATAAGTACACCAAAGGTTCCCATCCTTTGGAAAACATCAAAGATTGTCCCAGTTCCTAAAATGCAAAACCATCGGTTAATAATGACTTTAGACCTCTTGCATTGACTCAATTGCCATAAAATGTTAAGAACGTTTGATTGAAAATGTATTATTAAATCAAATGAATGCACTATTAGATCCATTGCAATTGCATTCAGAGCAAGCCGAGGAGTAGAAGATGCTACGATTACACTTTCGAACAGTATTTACCAATAATGCCCATGAAAGAAGTGTTTATCAACGTTTAGTAAATTATGGTTAATCTGTATGGATATTATCTGTTGACTTCAGCTCGGCATTTAACACCAATCAACCTCGTGTATTATTTAAGAAGCTCCTGGACTTGAATGTCAATTAAGATTTGAGTAGATGGGTTAATTCCTGTCTGGTCAACAGACCGCAGTTTCTTTGTGTAAATGGTACTGATTCATCAAGTGTGTGTACAGCCACAGGTGTGCGACAAGGCTGCGTAATTTCACCCATATTGTTCATACTCTATACAAATGATTGTAGATACAACACTGACACAGCCTTTACTGTTAAATTTGCTGATAATGCCGCATTGGTTGGACGTATTAATGAATCTGAAGTGTGTTATTGGAATGAAGTCAATAACTTCGTCGAATGGTGTACATGTAGTTCAAAGTTTCTATTTTGGAATGTGAACAAAACAAAGAAAATGATCATTGCTTTCAGAAGAGATAAGCTAGTTAACTCACCAGTAAGCACAGGTGGAGAGGCTATTGAAGTAGTTGAGGAATATAAATATCCCGGTACCATGTTAGACTCTAAAATGCCTAAGGCTACATTAGATCTTCTCTGTGAAGAACTTCACCCCTTTCTGCATAAAGACTCAACTCCAGTGAAGGAGCGCCTGGATGTTAACCACAAAGTTGCCATAGTTGTATACTGGCTAACAGACTATAGAACAATCAGTAATTTGTTTGGAGTATCAAAAGCAACTGTATAGATTTGTGTCAAAGATGTGTGCACCACGTTGGTGGAGCATCTCCTGCCCATGTATGTGAAGTTTCCAGGACGTGATGACTTAAAAACTACTGGACATTTCCAAATTGTCCTGAATCTATAGATGGCACTCATATCTCTGTTATTGGTCCAAAAGAAGCTCATGGCGACGGGGGATGGTATTCCATTATTTTGCAAGGTGTATGTGACTACAGGTAGCTGTTCACAGATATCACACTTGATTGGCCTGGTCAGGTGCATGATGCTCGAGTGTTTGGAAGCGCAGAAGATTTCTATCGAAGTGAAACAAGGAATCCGTTACCAGAATGGAATAAGAGTGTTGTAGTTACATGAACACATTTACATAGGGTGCAAATTTACATATAAACACAAAAACAAATTTGCTCCTACTGTAGATTTGCACACGTGAGTATAAATATGCTAACGTGTGTAACTTTACTCACGTATGCAAACATGTCCGTGTCAAAAATATTCTTGATACTTCCTAAAATATAACTGGATTTCCTTTCCATTTTTGAGTAGAGTACTGCTTAACCATTTTACCGTTTTGGGGAATCAAACACAGTACACCTTCCTTCATATGTAGGCTATTTTTGAGAAATTAGCTGAATATTAAACGAACAAATAGTCTACTATTGAAACGATGGCAGATGCAAAAATATTTTGAATGAAATGGGACCTGCGTACCCTCTCAAGTGGAAGGTGTAAATATGAAATTTAATCAGTGATAAGGAAATATCAAATGTACATGCCAGAAATAACACTAACAGCGGAATAGATGTATATAAACTAGTGTCCAAAAGAAACGCCACCAAAATAAAAATTGTTGTAAATTTTCAAAATAATTGTCAATCTGTTCTATAATAGCTAAAAAGCATCTCTCGAACACAACATGCCTATTCCTAGTGAACACTTGCACTTGCATTTCGTATTTAGTGGGAAAAAAACCTGAATTTACAGGCGTAAAATGGAAATTGTGCACAAAGTTACTCGTATCAAAATAGGGTATAAAAGCTGACCAGGTGTATTCCCTTTCATCATGTAAATTGATTGACAAGTAGGAATATGCCTCGTTAAACAGCAGAGCGAGGGAGGGAGCAATCGGTATGCTGCAGACGGGAGCAACGTCAGACTAAGAGCATGTGGATAGGACCATGGGATGCTGCAAATGCACCATCGCCAGACTTGGTATACGTCTACGAAAGACTGGCAGTACTGTAGTCAGGCCAAGGAGTGTTAGACCGAAGGTCACTATCCAACAAGAAGACCGGTATTTACGGATGTTTCACCTGAGGAACCAATACGTAAGTGTGACGTCATCAAGCATCAACAGCCTTGGACATCCAGTCGCCAGACGACTCCGCCATCATGGTCTCCGTGCCTATCGACCTTTTCAAGGGCATAACGTTGACGTGCCAACGACGACGTGCCATATTGAGATGGACCAGGACTGTGGCACACTGGCAACAGCGAAACTGGCGAAGAGTTCTCTTTCGTGACGAAAGCAGGTTCTAGCTCTTCAAGTCTGACGGACGAGGTCGCCCAATTTGTGTCCGATTGAGCACCTTTGGGACCAACTGGGACGTCGTATTCGGAAATGCCAAAATCAGCCATTGACGAGGAACGCTTTGGCAGTTGCTCTGCAAGAGGAATGGCGTCGGATCCCTAATCAAGACGTCAGAAGACTCACCTACTCAGTTCGACGCCGGGTTCGGGCCTGCGTCACTGCTAGGGGTGGCCACATCCGGTATTGAACAATATGTGCTGCCTAGAAAGTTGTAAAAGCTAACAGTCCATTCTGCATTGGTGAACAAATACTGGACAATGCACCCCAATGTCTTTCATGTGCCATTAGATCATGAGCTGCGTCGCTTTTCTACTTGTTATCTAGTAAATACTGTTGCTGATGATTGCTTTTTACAATAAAACATTTCATGTTACCATAATTTGGTTTTGGTTTATTTTAGACCAGAAATATATTTGGTGGCGTTTCTTTTTGGACGCCAGTTTATTAATCAGTGTAACATTAATACTGCATCGTGCTGGTTTTTTCTGCTACTTGGAAGAACATAGCAATCACTTAGAATTCACCATCTTTATTGACAATGATGTTTTTACTTCCTTCAGATGGATCCTCGCTGGAATTTAATTGACTTTGAAGCCACAGACCCACCCCCATGGATGAAGGAAAGTGGTGCTAGTCAAGATCGTGCTCCGCCAGTCCGTGACATGATTAAGAATATCAGAGCCTTTCAACAACAGTGGCAAGAGCTGACAGAACAGGAACAGCAGAAAAGAAAAATGGTGTTTGTTCCCATTTTTATACATCATATATGCGTTGAGGAAGACCTAGGTCTTCAGACAAAATCAGAAACAATTTCTGTTTTTCACAGTATGCAAAATGATTTAAGGAAATTTAAAAAGAAACCAGATGAAGAAAATATAGAGGAACGCAAGGTTTCTAAATCAAATTCTATGAATAAACAGGAGATAGAAACAACCAATTTGATCAAAGCATGGTTACATTTGTGGCAGTGTCTGGATCCTAAATCACCAGGCAGTGATTCACTGGATGGACTGATTGACATTGACGTCTGTATCACTAAAACACATAAGATTATAATGAATGATTTAGTGAACAAGGCAAACAAGACTCCAGCTGGATGCTTTAGCACTGAGACACGGTACACCACATACAAAGGGGAAGAACACCACTATCCTAAATTTGAGACTCCTGAGGATGCATGGAAGGCAGTACAAATTATTTGTGACCGGTACAATGCTTTAATAGATCGAATACAACAGTTGGACGATTCTTGTGACAAGATGTATAAAATGTTTAAGTGTGCTGCATGGCTGTTGTTTAATCTAGTGTCTCTGCATCCATTTAGTGATGGTAATGGCCGCCTGTGTCGTCTGCTCTGCAGTTATGCATTAGGTGTTGCTACACCCTTTCCGAGTCCTGTATACAACGTGTACAGCCCATCGGAGAAAAGCGATTACATAGACGGTATTGTCAGTGCACGGAAAAGAAATCCGCAGTATCCCAAGGAACTGACAACATTGATAATAGAGTCAAATTGGTTTGCATGGAAGGCTATTTTGTCTTCTGACTGTAAAGATGCTGACCATGAGGATGAACCACTTGCTAAACGTACGGCATGTGAAGATGAGCCAATACCTGCAGGTATTGAATGCGAACAAGATTCCCTATAAGAACAAGTATATATGGACACTGATTCAAATAACCTCTCAAGACTGTGATCTTTCTGGTTGCACTCGATGGTTGAGAAGTTGCTACAAACTGCAGTGCAGAGTTGTGTATCTGTGTCGAGCCAGAATCCGGTGATGGATTGTTCGGTTTTCAGATTTGTTTTCTGTTTGTGACCCTGGGCCTTTGAGCTCAATAATGCGCTTCATATTGAGTAAATTTTGCTGTAGGAGTTATGGCAGCGTACTAGTCTGAAAAAAAATGTAACCCACGCTGTCATTTTTTGCTGTTTGTGATGCTGTTTTCAGATTAAATTATTTGTGGCCATAATAAGAAGGTTAAACGATATTAGCTTAACCTGACTTGACAGAGTTTTATAGTCAGTTTGACTTTTATTATTACCTGAAACTTATTGCTGAAGGGTAGTGTTTCAGGATTGTGGTGTAGTGTAATATACTTGTTACAATATAATTGCAAAGACATTTATATTCGAAGTTGATCAATTGAAAATGTATGTAATGTTTTAAACTCTAAATATCCTGGTTATACAACCTTTATCGATACGTAATGAGTTGTTATGAAATGTGATTATATGTTATTGCCACAGACTATTCTGATATTATATATTATATTAGCGCCTTAGGTTATTGTGATTCTATATTATTGCCTTAGGCGATTGTGATATCAGAGATTATTGCCTTATGGTATTGTGATTCTATACGATTGCCTTTGGTTATTATGATATCATATTATTGCCTTCGGCAATTGTGATTCTGTACTCATGGAAACGAATAAGGGAACACCTGAAAGTACAAGTGTTCCTGTATTCTTTTCAACCACAGTGCATTACAAAGGTTGTGAAGAAACCTGGAAAAGAATAAAGGAACACTTGTTTTTTTTCACATGTGCCCTTATTCGTTTCCAAGAGCATATATTAGTGCCTTTGGCAATTGTGATTCTATATCAGTGCCTTAGGTTATTGTGATATCATATTATTGCCTTAGGTTATTATGATTCTATACGATTGCCTTTGGCTATTGTGATATCATATTAATACCTTAGACTATTGTGATTCTATATTGTTGCCTTTCGTTATTGTGATTCTATATTATTGCCTTTAGCAGTGGTGTTTCTGTATTATTGCTATAGGTTATTAAGATTATATATTATATAGGCTGTTCTGATTCTAATTGTTGCCTTTGGCAGTTGTGAGTCCATATCATTGCCTTTGGCAAATGTGTTCCGATATTAGTGCCTTAGGTTATTGTGATTCTATATTATTGCCTTTGGCTATTTCTGACAATGTTATTGACTTAGGCTATTGTGATTCTATATTATTGCCTTTGGCTATTGTGACTATGTTATTGCCTTAGGCTATTGTGATTCTATATTATTGCCTTTGGCTATTGTGCCAATGTTATTGACTTAGTCACAATAGTCAAAGGCAATAATATAGAATCACAATAGCCTAAGTCAATAACATAGTCACAATAGCCAAAGGTAATAATATAGAATCACAATAGCCTATGTTATTGACTTAGGCTATTGTGACAATGTTATTTGCTTAGGCTATTGTGATTCTATACGATTGCCTTTGGCTATTGTGATATCATATTAATACCTTAGACTATTGTGATTCTATATTGTTGCCTTTCGTTATTGTGATTCTATATTATTGCCTTTAGCAGTGGTGTTTCTGTATTATTGCTATAGGTTATTAAGATTATATATTATTGTCTTAGGCTGCTCTGATTCTAATTGTTGCCTTTGGCAGTTGTGAGTCCATATCATTGCCTTTGGCAAATGTGTTCCGATATTAGTGCCTTAGGTTATTGTGATTCTATATTATTGCCTTTGGCTATTGTGACTATGTTATTGACTTAGGCTATTGTGATTCTATATCATTGCCTTTGGCTATTGTGACAATGTTATTGACTTAGGCTATTGTGATTCTATATTATTGCCTTTGGCTATTGTGACAATGTTATTTCCTTAGGCTATTGTGATTCTATATTATTGCCTTTGGCTATTGTGACTATGTTATGGCCTTAGGCTATTGTGATTCTATATTATTGCCTTTGGCTATTTTTGACTATGTTATTGACTTAGGCTATTGTGATTCTATATTATTGCCTTTGGCTATTGTGACAATGTTATTGCCTTAGGCTACTGTGATTCTATATTATTGCCTTTGGCTATTATTATATTTTTATTTTTGCCTTTGGCTATTTTTGACTATGTTATTGACTTAGGCTATTGTGATTCTATATTATTGCCTTTGGCTATTGTGACTATGTTATTTTCTTAGGCTATTGTGATTCTATATTATTGCCTTTGGCTATTTTTGACTATGTTATTGCCTTAGGCTATTGTGATTCTATATTATTGCCTTTGGCTATTGTGACTATGTTATTGCCTTAGGCTATTGTGATTCTATATTATTGCCTTTGGCTATTGTGACTTTGTGATTGCCTTAGGCTACTGTGATTCTATATTATTGCCTTTGGCTATTGTGACTTTGTGATTGCCTTAGGCTACTGTGATTCTATATTATTGCCTTTGGCTATTGTGACTTTGTGATTGCCTTTGGCTATTGTGATTCTATATTATTGCCTTTGGCTATTGTGACAATGTTATTTCCTTAGGTTATTGTGATTCTCTTTTGTTGCCTTTGGCTATTATTATATTTTTATTTTTGCCTTTGGCTATTTTTGACTATGTTATTGACTAAGGCTATTGTGATTCTATATTATTGCCTTTGGCTATTGTGACTATGTTATTTTCTTAGGCTATTGTGATTCTATGTTATTGCCTTTGGCTATTTTTGACTATGTTATTGCCTTAGGCTATTGTGATTCTATATTATTGCCTTTGGCTATTGTGACTATGTTTTTGCCTTAGGCTATTGTGATTCTATATTATTGCCTTTGGCTATTGTGACTTTGTGATTGCCTTAGGCTACTGTGATTCTATATTATTGCCTTTGGCTATTGTGACTTTGTGATTGCCTTAGGCTACTGTGATTCTATATTATTGCCTTTGGCTATTGTGACTTTGTGATTGCCTTTGGCTATTGTGATTCTATATTATTGCCTTTGGCTATTGTGACAATGTTATTTCCTTAGGTTATTGTGATTCTCTTTTGTTGCCTTTGGCTATTATTATATTTTTATTTTTGCCTTTGGCAATTGTGATTCTATATTATTGCCTTTGGCTATTGTGACAATGTTATTTCCTTAGGTTATTGTGATTATCTTTTGTTGCCTTTGGCTATTATTATATTTGTATTTTTGCCTTTGGCAATTGTGATTCTATATTAGTGATATGATATTCATCATCATCATCATCATCATCATCATCATCATCATCATCATCATTTTTATTTCCTCCATTGGGACATTATTGTGAAGATATTTACAAATATGGACAGTAGATGGACATTTACATGATTCCAAAAAGAGATGTTAGTAATTAAAGATTGGGTTTGATTAGGAATTGCAAAACATAGGAAAACATGTATGACATCATGGATGAATTATAGTTCATATGTTTTATGGCATCTGCATAATACCGCTCACTGTTCATAATTGTCAATTGAAAGCTCTCTTTGGTAGGTGGCCATGATTTTCATTACGAATGATGCACTTAGGTCATAGACAAGGTCACTGCAATCAGGGTCAGATATTGCATCACAGGGTCGTCCGATCAGGTGCTGAAGAAGGAAGCTGTCTGTGATGACTGACCAGAAGTTGTCCTTCAGATGGTCACAAGATAATATCACGTGTCTCGGGGTGTCTCAGTAGGTCAGTGTACACAGTGTTGCACAGGTCATGTCGTGTCTCGTTTTGTTGTGGAACTGCTACCAACACTGAAGCCAGATGAGTATATTGTCTGATGCACTCTCTGTTTCTGGCTCGGATCCAAACTGATTCTGGTCCTAGAACACCATGTAGCATTCTGAATCGTGCAAAGTCTGGATCAGTGCTTGTGCGTTTTGTCGCTGTATTTGGTAGGGTGGGTAATTAGTCTCTTCTACTCGTACTTGCTTGACAGAACCTTGCTTGGCCATATAGTGCCATGTTGTGGAGAGCTGTTGTATATCCTGCTGAGAGAGCTGCGTCCACAGTTCGCAGCCATACAGCATCCAAGGTAGAACTTTTTTAGGGAAAGTATCTGCGGATATGAGGGGATTAACACCTTTGAGTTTTAAGCCAATGTCCATTAAAGCATGAGAACACGATCTGGCTTTTCTACAAGCTTTCCTTACAGCATCTTCATGTTTAACGTTTTTGTTCAATTGTATTCCCAAGTGTTTGGTAGAAGCAGTTGTGGAGACAATATCACCTGTTAGGCGCCACTTATAGGTTGAGGAGTAACCAGCTTTCGACCCAAACACATTTGGAGGGGTTACGTATACGTTCATACCTCCACTTCTGTGAATACTTCGACACAATATCCAAGAGAGCCTGCAGGGTCTCTGGTGTGATTGCAAGTAGGGTGATGTCCTGATGTTGGATTTCCAAGATGAAGATCAATAACACTCACACCACACCTTGATGCCCCAAGTTCGCCAAGAAGTTCGTCAATAAAAATGAAATACAAGAGAGCAGACCACCTTATCTTACACCTTAGTGTACAGGAGTCTAGATTGAAAGCCATTTACAAAATTTGCACTTTAAGTTTGGTGTATGCGTTGATAAAGATTCTCCAGGACTGCCCTGTAATGCCAAGTTGATGCAGCTTCAGAAACAGGCCATTGTGTCAAACATGCTCTTTTATTGTCTAAAATGCTCTGTAAATTTTGCTTCCCAATTCAAGATGATGACATATTGATTCCGTTACGCTGAACTCTGCTGCCATGCATCCGATTCCACTTTGATAACCCTGTTGCTGATTTGAAATTATGATGTTGTTTAGCGTGATCCAGGATGTGAGTCTGTTGTGCAAAGGTTTCTCAAAGAGTTTACAAATGACAGGAAGCAGGGTTATAGGACGATAATTTTCGGGATCGTTCTTTGGTTTGTTGCCCCCCTTGTGGATAGGGATAATTATTCCTGATTTACAAGGATTTGGAATAAAACCGAACTTTAGCATTCCATTGAACAGATCTACCATATACGCTGTTAAAGCTTGTCCACCATAGATGATGTGTTCGTTTTGAATATTGTCATCTCCAGTAGCTTTTGATTTCTTGAGGTTCGTACCTTTACTGATGAGTTCACTCCGGGTAACTGGTTCTTTCAGGGTTTCAATGTGCTGAAAAGATTCTGATTCTAATAAGTGAGATACCTTTTAATTTGTTGCATTGTAGAATCCATCATCAAATTCAGGATTTCGTTAGGGGGATTTCACTATTTCGTAAAAGTCAGCAAAAACATTGCCTATGTCGTCAGAGTCCCAAATATATCTGTTGTTATAGGTGAGATAAGCACAACACTTGTATTTCTTTCCTTTTCTTCTGTTAATCAGTTTCCAAAAGCTGTTTATGTTATACTCCTATGAACTTTCAAATTCCTGAAGTGAATTTTCTGTTATAAAAATTCTTGAAAGGCTTTTGGTTGGGCTTTTCGGTAGTCACGTTTAAGACGATTATATTTAGAATAAATATTGGACGTCCTTCATTTATCCAAAGACGTCGTGCTTGTCTTGAAGTGTGTGGGCATACTTCAGTTGATGTGACCAGTAATGTTTTGTGTGGGGATTGAATTTTGATAATGGTAAAGTAGCGGTACTTGCTTTTGTGATACTTTCCGTGATGTGCTGGTAGAGATAATCTATATCACTAGCATCAGTTATATAGTCACAGGGCTTTGTCATAGGTAATTGCATGCTTAGTGTATTTTGACATTCTTTGTGATATGATATTATTGTCTTTGATTATTGCGATGTCATATTATTGCCTTTGGACATTGTAATTCTATATCATTGCCTTAGGTTACGGTGATTCTATACTATCGCCTTAGACTATTGTGATTCTATTTTATTGCCGTGAGTTGTTGTGATTCTATATTAGTGCCTTATGTTATTGTGATATTATGTCATTGTCTTAGACTATTGTGATTCTATATTATTCCCGTTTGGTTATTGTGATTCTATATTATTACCGTTTGGTTATTGTGATTCTATATTATTACCGTTTGGTTATTGTGATTCTATATTATTCCCGTTTGGTTATTGTGATTCTATATTATTTACTTAGTTTGTTGTTTGTTATTGGTTTGGTCAATTGAGTGTGTTGTGTTTTGTTTTCATGTTTTAACATGATTACCAGATTGTTGAAATTAGTTGCATAAAAGGGTACAGGTTTTATGTGCTTGTTATCTATGAGAAAAAATACTTTACATGCTTTCATATCTGAATAAACATGATGAATACATGAAATATGTTAGACATTGCTTTGTCGATAATGATCTATTGTCACAAAATGAAAAAAACCTTCATGTCAGCTTTGCATGTACTGAAGTTTAATACAATTTTCCACAAAGGACACCCACACGATTTTCTCATGAAATGTTATTGCATGCTTTGGTCCCTTCATGTAGCAGGATCCGCTGATTCTTGATAAATTCATACTGGTGTTTTCAGTGATCAGTGTCACAACCAGGCTCTGTACTTCCCACATTAAGGTACTTCTGAAATAACCCAACTGACCCCTGACAACATGCAAAGTTGGAACATTAGCCTTGTGCATGTCTATCTATAAAGGGGTTATGTATTTTTGTGCATGGATATGTTCCCTGGAAACAAAAAACTTCAGTTTAAAAAAGTTTAGCTGTATGGTTTAAATATTGATGTAAAATTATAACTCACTCATTGTCACGCAGGTGAATGCACTCACATGTTTATCACAGCATGGAAATTGTACGAGTCACAAAAGAATTGCAAACATCAACCAAACAATATGTCATCAGAGGCAGAATTGTGTGTATAATCTGTATATACTAGGCCAAAAAAGTAGGGGATAGAGGGAATCGTCAATACATGTCTTCTCATCCATATGATACTAGCAAATAGAATATGAAGTTATCTTCTGGGGCATATAGCCTATACAATCTAATGGGTTGTTATGTCTAGTGTGATGAGATGATGGTCAAAGAGACTGGGGTCAAATTTTGCATTTTGCATCCGATCTTACTAAAATCAGGTAAAACCACAGACATGCACAATTTTAGGCGTGCTTCTGATGAGTCAACCATGCAATGCCATCTTGACTCAAACTTAATTTGATTGATCTACTCATTAGTGAAGAACAGCAAGTCCATTCAGAGTGGGCCAATGGGGTAGATAAACGCTCATGGTGACACTCACTGGATTGTGTGGTCCAGACCCAGTTATGTATAGATCAACACGTGTCATCGTACTCTGATGATCAACGGACTGTCGCCACCATATAGCTGGAATATTGGTGAGTGCAGCCTTAAGCAACCAACCGATGTCCTCTACACAATTGACACCATGGATTCAAATGAGGTACATTTAGTTGTGGTATTAATTGTCTGTCTGTGTATTGGGCCCACAATCTGCTGGTAACAGAGTGAGAAACATGCAATGTTTATGCAAACACATTTTGATGTGTGTGCAGTGTGCGAAATAGCCACTGGTCCGCTAGCCCGTGGCTAGTACAAATCCAGTCGGGTCAATAAATCTTCAAATGCCTGACAGGCTACTGATTTTTAGGGGGTCATTTTGTAAATGTACAGACTTGTTAAATTATAATACACTTTTAAGTCATGCAAGATTATGGTCTGGTAAAAATGTTCATCATATTAGCAGCTTAATGATGACTTATTTGAGGATAAACCAAAATATTTCAGAGGTGTTTTCATATTTGTTTTTGATTGTATTTTACTTTTTTTGTAATCTTTTGCTTAGTTTCTACATTCGGGGCGAAGGGGTAGCCTCGTGGTTAAGGCGTTTGCTCGTCACGCCGAAGACCCCGGTTCGATTCCCCACATGGGCACAATGTGTGAATCCCATTTCTGGTGTTCACCGCCGTGATATTCCTGGAATATTGCTAAAACCGGTGTAAAACCATACTCACTCACTCACTAGTTTCTACATTCAAATTTTGGCCTAGAATTATTTTGTGGGCTAGATCCTTCTCCAGACAATAAACACCATATATGGTCAGTGTACATTTAATAAAATATGCAAACACAACAAAACATGACATCACAGATGTACGGCCTGAAAGTGCCACTAGCAGAATACTGGACGGATTTGTCTAAAAGAACATATACTATACATCTCAGCATTACACAAAGCAAATAAATAATCATAAATATTAATGGTGTATTTACAAATCCAAATCAGATTATAATTAAAATGAGATGAAAATTGCAAACTGCAATCTCGATAGTATGATTTGTGTTTATTCGCAGTATTTATTCAGAGTTATGTTGACATAAATGAAACAATGTTGGCGAAACAGACCTTTGCTCTCTGAGTAACCCCTCCCTATCAATAACGATAGTGGATCACACATCATGCCTTATCTTATAACAAGGGAAGTAACTCTAACGATTCATCTATACTTGTTAATCACAATAATATTTAATAGGTACTGAGTAAAACATTAATCTTAAATATTAAAATCACAGCCAAACATTTTGTTTAAGTGTGAAGTTCATTCGAAACACATGCAAATTCAACTGATATCCGAACATTCTATTCTGCCAGTATGTTCAAAGTATGTATGCATGTATTAATATAATGTACTGGATGTAACCAAAATCACAAACAAAACATTTTTTGTACTGACGACTTATCTTCGTTCATGCGATCTTTGTTCAGATATATTACCTAATTGTTCCTATCGAAATAAGCAATGCACAGGAAAATAGGAAAAATAAAGTCTAAAACTAAATAAATACATCAACTATAAATAGACTATAATTATAGCAAAGAAACAGAAGCCGCTGAGGCCCCATATCACAGATTGTTTGTAATTGGCTACAAATAGGAATCATTTATGCCTTCACACAAATTATTTCAGCTATGCATCCATATTTACACATACAACAGTCATATTGTGTTTCATCTTGTCGTGCAGTAGCTTCCATAATGTACGAGGTTAGCGTTGTCTGTAGGTTCGGGGAAATACGTTGGAGAACGATCACATTGTTGGTGTCGTCAAGGTGCCCATGCCATCACTATTTTGTTGAAAGCAACAAACACGCCTTTGTTGGGTTTGCTGGAACACAAACAGAGATAATAAAACAAACTGAAATCAGTTGCTGGTCATTTTAAACTGATTACTATGTACATTTTGGAAATGTAACTGGAGGATTACCAGAGTGATTAAATACGAAACTGAACGTCAGCCTCAATTATCTTATGTGTTGCATCTCCATTTTGTCATTATCTGATATTTCAATGGAAATATACTGAGAGAAACAAACATAGGAACACAGGAAAATTCAAGTGTTACTTAAATAATTTTCCAGTTTTCATCACCAGCTTTGAAAAGCGCTATGGGAGGAAATATGAGAATAAATACAGGAACACTGCAGTCAAGTGATGTTCCCTTTTTTGTTTCCCTTAGTATATAAAACAAAGGAGATCAAATTTTCGGATACACATACATCAGGTTTACTCATCTGAAATTTTCAGCATGCATAAACAAACTGGTACAGTACTTCTGAAGTTACATAGGTTTGAGAGGTTTGTTGAATTTAATAAATATTATCAATAGCTCAAAGAGTGTGTTTATTGTCAAAATAAATAAAGTATCCAATTTTCATCTTAGAGGCAAGAGGCATGTTATTATTTTTGCTCGTAAATAACCTGTTCAAGAAATCCCTGTACATTAACTGTGAAAAGATTCAATAGAAGTATGACTGGAGGTTAAAGTATCCAGCATACAAAAAGATGGGAATCTTCTTCATCAGCTGGTACCAACCGACAATACTATGGCCAAGGGTGTATCACAGTGCCGACAGTTGCGGGTCAGAAAGTCTAACAATATACTATGGCCTATTCATTAGACTGGACGTGCCTATCAGTACCACCTCTCAAATCAATATTATCTATCAACATGAGAGCATACATACCACTTGAAATAACGGATTGCTTCAAATGTGCCATCATGTTTTCCTTCTGTAAACAATAGAAAATAAAGTTATGACTGTCTTTGAAATGGCATAATAAAACATGCACAAGCAAGGTCTGCTTAAGTCAGTTAAACTTCCACTGGCTTAAGGACTTGACACTAACAAAACAGATTTAGTAAACTGGGGCTCCTTTCACGAAGCAACCTTTACTAAGTTTAACCTTAACTCCCATTCTTTAACATTGCACTAGGGTTACCTTAGTGATATACCTTCACCATAGTGCCCTGTTCAGCAGATAAATGTCTGAAATTTATTCATGTGAAAGTCATGAATTTTCAAAATAAAACCATGACGTTTTAAAAATTGAATATTTGGAGGATTCCTACATTATAACAATATAGCAAGAATTCTCCAGGAGCCAGGAGTCTCCATAACATAGATATGCCAAGGTCACCTCAAAACACAATTGGAAATTTCTCATTGCATGAAACTGAGGATCTTGGAGGAACTTGGAGAACCTTGAGCACTCAGCTTGGGATAGATCCCAAACAACTTACTGCTTGTTGTAAAGAGATATTATACTGTATCATACAGCTAGGTTTGGTTATTTGACTGAATACATGAAGCAAAAGGTTGTGGAATGTTACTCACACATCAACCACTGGTTTGTCAGGCTCAGGGACCTGTTTCACAAAGTTATCATAGGGCTACGACTGTCGTAACTCGTAACTGTATGTTACAGTATAGGTAGTACAACAGTCGTAGCGCTATGGTAGCTTTGTGAAACGGGGCCAAGATTATGTACAGGCATCAATACTCTTGCTAGAATACCACTGATGTTAACAGTCACTGACTCAGTTACAATTTACAGGTACCCACCTTCCTTATCTAGCTCCACACCCAGGTAGACATCACTGCGACCAGGTAGATGACCAATGAACTTGACCATCCCCTGGCTAAGCTTGCCGCCCTGACGGGAGAACTTGACCACATCATCCAGTTTCATGTCTCCAGGGGTGCGTGGGGCAAACGGACGCATACCTTGTGTCAGAGAGCTACAGCAGAGCAACATATCATTGTCAGAGTTGATGTCTGTCAGAGAATTTAAACACAACCTTCATCTAATTTATCCCATCCTGTATCAAGGATATTATAATCCTGTGCCATTATGAGTGAGTGAGTTTAGTTTGGCATTAATACCTGCCATTGTGACTCAGCAATATTCTAGCTATATGGCGGCGGTCTGTAAATAATCGAGTCTGGACCAGACAATCCAGTGATCAACAGCATGAGCATCGATCATTTGGGAACCGATGACATGTGTCACCCAATTCAGCAAGCCTGACCACCTGATTGTGCCATTATTGAGCTAATTTGCCACCTTACCTTTGTGTCTGAAGTGATGGCATCACATCTGTTGCTCCTATACGTGAGCACAGAATATATTCCACTCAAGACAGTAATTTCATTAGATAGCTATTTTTGTATCTTGGCATAAAAATCAGGTTCAAGACAAAGGTATGATGGAGAATAGGTCCAGGGTGTTTTGAAGAATGGAGACACAATTCCCTGGATAAGGGAGGATGACATTTGTGTCTTACCTTGATAGTGACACAATAGTTCCCATCATGCCCTTGTTGTGTTGAGTAGCAATCGGCTGAGGCGTGACGCTCCGGAATCCAGCAGAATTTGGTGCAGGTGCATTCTGGGACAACCTCTCACTACTAGCTGAGATTCTCATCTGCATGGCGGGAGTTGTGCGAGAGGGACTTCCGGTTGGGGTACGACGAGCCACCCAGTCACCTGAGGAAGAAATAACACCATCACTGAGCCCTATGTTTAGTATTTGGATCACTGGGATGCATGAGTGAGGGAGTTGGGGTTTGGGCAAAAATCATGGGCATGGTATCATTTTTATTACACGTGAAAAGTGGGAGTGAAAGACAATGATGCTGTTTACAAATGGTGAACTCCATGAGGAATCCTGGTAATCGTATGGTTCTGACAGAACAAGGATAAAAACGCTCTGGGACCCTAGCCTCCTATCTGAGTAAGATAAGATTGAGTAAAATGTTTTTACTGTATGGTAAGATCAGCGTATTAATATTAATATTATTATCATACTGTATTATGGCGTCTTGATGCATCAGTTGACATCAACGAGAAATCTACAGTTGTAGCCTGTCCCTTGGTGTATGGGCTCTGGTATTATTTAAAGACTAACACGCTGAAAATAACACCTAGATCAAGGGGTAGGTTATTCAGTTTAGCAGGCTTAATGTGTTCCACACAGTCTGATATAATTATTATTATCCATATGGTGGAACATAAGTCATTTTCAATATGTGCACATGTGTACATAACACTTTTGCCTAGCAACCACTGTTTCTGTATTTCATCGTCTGTGACGTCACTAAACAATTGAATGTGACGTCAATATACAGGGCAGTCACACTTGCTTACCCTACTCTACAAACGTACATAAATAAAATGGATAATAAAGAAATTATTACATGAGCAAGTAACATTACACCTCTGAATGACATGTACCATGACACCTCTGCATGACATGTAGCATGACACCTCTGCATGACTTGGAACATGGCATCTCTGAATGACACTCATGAATGACATGTAACATGACATCTCTGAATGACATGGAAAATGGCACATCTGAATGACACATAACATGGCACTCATGAATGACATGCAACAGTACACCTAAATGACATGCAACATGACACCTCCGAATGACATGCAACATGACACCTCCGAATGACACGCAACATGACACCGCTGCATGACACGTAATATGGCACTTCTGAATGATACGTAACATGACACCTCTGAATGACATGCAGTGACACCTCTGAATGACATGAAGCATGACATTCCTGAATGACATGTAACATGACATTCCTGAATGGCATGTAACATGACACCTCTAAATCACATGTGACATGACACTCATGAATGACACGTAACATGACATCTCTGAATGACATGTAACATGGCACCTCTAAATGACGTGACATGACATCTCTGAATGACATGGAACACGGCACTTCTGAATGACATGTAACATGCCACTTCTGAATGACATGTAACATGACAACTCTGAATAACATGTAACATGACATCTCTGAATGATATGGAACACGGCACTTCTGAATGACATGTAACATGACATCTCTAAATGACATGTAACATGACATCTCTGAATGACATGGAACATGGCGCCTCTAAATGACATGCAACATGCTACCTCTGAATAAATGTGTAATATGACACGTCTACACATCGATATTACCAAGACAGGAGCTCAATTAACAAATGCACAAACATGAAGCAATCACAAAATAATAACAGTGTTAGTAACACAAGCTGTGACATAATACCCGCACCAGTGATCCTAGTCAACATGGCCCCGCTAATCACCCACACAACACCGACAACACAAATGCTACCACGTCACATCTACCTCAGACCTGTGTCTACCTGTTGTGGACCAGTTATCGTGTATACAGGCACTGACTGTTGACGAAGACTTATCACATGATCAGATCTACCTAGTGATATCGAGTGTGAGCCTTATGTACATATAAGGTCAAGCAGTGCCATGTGGGTCAGGATAGGCAGTAAGTCAACTCTACTGGAGGGCCAGGTTAATGCTTAGATTTAGGGTGTTGTGACTGACTGACTGACTGAGTTTAGTTTTACTCCGCTTTTAGCAATATTCCAGCAATATCACGGCGGGGGACACCAGAAATGGGCTTCACACATTGTGCCCATGTGGGGAATCGAACCCGGGTCTTGGCGTGATAGCCAACGCTTTAGGGTGTTGTGAGGAAACTAGTATTGTTCTGAAACTCTGAGACAGACTACTGAAGGGAAGGTACAATCATTTCAGGCAGTGTTCAACTAAAGTCAGTAGTGATTCCCCACATGGGTACAATGTGTGAAGCCTATTTCTGATGTCTCCTGCAATGATATTGCTGGAATATTGCTAAAAGCGTCTTTAACTAAGAGCACTCACTCACTAAGTATGTGTGTGTGAATGTGTTTGTAGGGTAATGCCAGGCAGTATATTCTGTAGTAAGGACACAATATATTAAGGCATCAAAAACAGACGATACAAGGAATAAAACAAAATAACAAGGGAAGGACAATATTATCATGGGTCCTATGTATACATTAACATACAGATTTATCATTGCTAATTTACGCTACGTCTACACTGTACAACATACATAGTTTTTAACTTCAATTCTGTTCTCGTCTTTTTGTTACTGGTATTGACACTCAAGTTTTATCTGAATAAAGCATTGACTGAAATAAGATGTCCTTGTGTTTAAACAGGGGACCAGATATTCAATAAATTGCAAGGCTTATCAATGGTGTTGATCATATCATTTAGCCATATGAAGAAAAATCATTCCAAATTACAGTGAATTAAATACTGTTTAATGTTGATCTACTCTTTACATTTGAGCTACATTTTTTTAAACCTACATTCATGCCCAGCTAAATCCAAGTGACGATATTTTTTAACTTGGAGAAGTAGTACATACCACTAGAAAAGCAACATTTTCCTTTCAGTTCAGGATCCAATATGATTTTGTTTCTAGGCTGAACATGATGGATTAGGGATTTGGGATTAAGGAACTTGATCTGAAGATTAGGTACAGTCCATTAGGTTAGCAAGGTAGGATTAACGAGATCAAGGCAGCAGTTGAGCAAATACGTTTTCTTACACCTCTGGTTGACAAAAATCCTTGTATAAAACATGTGTGAGATCAAAGTTCTTGTTTGCTCTTCCTTGGAGATGACTTAGATAGAATTATTACATACTGCTTTCCTGAAAGCAAATATTTCATAAGTTACTGATAAGTACTACTTAATAAGCACTACTTTCATGGTTTCAACACATTACAACTGAAAACACTCAGCTGGTTTTGAACATTCTTGTATTTCAGTTTTTTAATTACGATTTGACCGTGAGATCAAATTCCAGTTATCATTAGTTAATTTTACTAAATTCTTACAGGATACAGAAAAAGTCTTAACATGACAAATGCATCTAAAGTTGGATAACACATAATGTCTTGAGGCCTGTTGATAGTGTAGTGACACCTAGCTAGTAGGTGTTTGTGCTACAGACCAGAGTCGAACATCATGAAGAAATCTCACATTCCTTGAGATTAACATAAACGATACAGAATAATAATGCTTTCAGAGCATAATTTCTTATTCTCATTCACGACTGATCGTTCCTCAGTTAATTTCCAACCCAATGATTATTCTTAAAATGTTAACAAATCTTAAACACTAGATTCATATTGAGTTCTGTTTTAAATCAAAATACTAGTTTTATGGTTAATTCAATAAGTAAACTATTTGTTGACATAGTCAGCAAACACCCCTCAGACATCAGAGGTGAAGATGATAACCTTTTTTAATGGATCCTAATGACACATTATTGGAAATACGTTCTTTAAGGAAAACAAAAACTACAGGGCAACAGATACAGGGAAGGAGAGCTGACACAGGCAGTGTACCTGACATCATCTTTAGCCAGGAGATCACGGTGTCCTTTAGGAAATCCACTGAAGCAGCACAATAAACACAGCAAAGATGTCAGTAGAATGCAACCAAAATATGCAAAAATATCTGGGACCAAATTTCATAAATTAAATGGAAAATCTAAATGAAATAAAACATTATTCTAAAATAATATACTTGTCCCAGTTTAGAATATCCTTATCTTTCAATATCTATCACAAAATATCCCTATCGTAAAATGTTCTATTTACATCTGAGAAGAAACTATCTGTTAAACCACAGCATTTCATTTCAGCTTTAAGACTATTGATTCATTTTTAACAATCAATTTGGACACTAAAGTTTGCAAACATCTTCACAGCTAAGAAAAAAGTTATAAATCTATATTAATCTATTAATTATATTTTTCCAAAAGGCAATGCCTGAGGAGCCATTATTTGGGGGTTGGTTTTATGGAAAATGACTTTAAAATAGACTCAATGATGAATTCTTCGCTAGGGACCAGTTTACTAAATTCTACTTTTGTTTGTTTGTTTGTTGTTTTCCTCGTTACAGCTATATGTCAGGATCCCGTTAATCGCCAGTCTTACGACAAGCATGGGTAACACAAGATCAGTTCGAATCCAGATCTTCACAGGTCAAAAATAGAAACATTTATGCAAAAGTGTACATTGCAAGTAAACCTCAATCTGTGTCAGCTTGGGCTATGGCAATGGTTTCTTCAGCGATCATGTACAAAATTTACACAGATATATATTAAATTGTGTGCACCTAGAAGAAACAAAGTCTAGTTGCTGAATAAGCACTTTTAGCAGGTGGTATCATGAGTAGATTTGTTCAGCATATGAAATCAGGTAACTGTCAACTTGGATATTAATCATTCACTGATTTGATCTGGTTTTCAAACAAATATTGTTCTTATGTGACTGGGGAGCACAGAATCAGCTCTGAGATGGGAAGATTGTTTAACTAGAGCAGAAGAAGCCAGTATGTCAAAACTAGGTTAGCAACAGAAGAAGTCTTCTAGCAGCATAGTGAAGCACAGAAAAGAACAGCCAGGAATTTAAGCCTTTTCAGGTTGATTTATAATTGGAGGTTTGGAAAATCCTGTGATATTGTTGTGCATTGTAACCACAAGAAACAAGTATTCATCCAGACCTGGACAAAATCCCAACAAAATTCACAGTCTGCAGAGAACCTTTGCTTCATTCGTTAATAGTCTAGATATAAACATTGTAATCAGTGTGCTGTATGCATCTGAGATAGCGTCTTTATCTAATAATAAGGATAGAAACAAAAGATAATGTCTCTTGGGCACTGGCTTGTCACAGTAAATCCTGTATGTCTGTCAGTTTTAGAGCCAATAACAAATATTGTTCAAATCTCTTAAATCGTATGAGGCATATGTTATCTGTGAAATGACTGCATGACAACTAACATTGTATGATTAAGTCAAGATGATTTTTGTCCAGTTGGTTGCCAGTTCCCAGTTGGTTTCCCAATTTTCCCCAAACTGGTCACCATTTCCGTTTACAGTGCTTTCAAATGAAAAATTTCACTACAAACCAACACTGACAAAATACATTCAAATATTCTATTGACAAGATCTAAACTTTGAACCTATAAACAAAACAATTTGCATACATTTATAGCATCCAAGTCAATATCTTCAAGAACTACCAACCTCTAGCATCAACAGACTTCGACCGTCTTCTCCGAGATCCATGATGTTCATCTTCACTGGCAGAAGACATAGATTCCGATTCCACAGACTGTCTTCGCCGACGCCGATGTGATCTGCCAGGTTTGCGGTCAATGAAGTCGCTGCTGAGGAGTATGTCAGTGGCTGTGTCGCTTAACTCTCCATTGTCTTCTGGGTACAACTTCCTCTGTGCATCATAATCACCTGTGACAAGTGACAGGAACATCATTATTGACCAAAATATTCACAAACTTCAACAATGCATTAGGAAAGAGTTTGGGGTTTAAATATGATACATTAATACATATTAAATAACATGTCAATGATTCATAGACGAGCAACATTTAAGAAGGACAAGTTACAGTTCCTTCTTCACTGACCCTGTTACATCAGGTAGATGGCAGCTAGGTAACACACATATTTTGAAAGCTAGTGTAATCTATAAGTTTATTTTTTACCCTGTTTGACCAGATATGAATAGAATTACTGATAAATGTTGTAAATGTAATAAGCACAAGTCTGGTGCAGACAAACCAAGACAGGTTAAAACCCACAAGCAGCAGATCATAGGGATCTAAGGGAGACAATTCCGCCTACTGAAGCTGCATAGAAATATACCTGGGCATTTAACTCACACTACACCTTTGTTACCCTGGCAGGCAAATTGGGAAAAATCAATATTTTGTTCAAATATGTCATATTTTCAAAGTTATTATTTTCCTTAACTTGGGTATTTTGACAGTTCATAATTGCTGCACAGCAGGTCTAGATATGATCATGATATTAATAATTAGGAATAAATATAGAGATTAAGATATAATAATCATGGATATTAATTTTCCGAAATAATCAGACAAAATTTTAACACCTCAAATCAACTTCGTGAACAGCCTTCCACATTATAGCCATTAAATAGCATATTATGAAGTAAATTTTAAAGCAAATATTCATCAAAATGTCAATTAAAGAATCAAATCAATGCAAAAAACATTCTAATAGTTTCACTACCTTTTAAACAATTTAGAACACAAAATGTTGTGTTGCAAAAAAGGTGCATAAAACATAAAATGAATGTGATACACAGTTTTAGAAAATTCAGATATTTGTGCAAGATGAGAAGATAGTAAAATGCTCCCCGTGAAAAATATAATCCTGCACGGCTATAAGCTAATTTTTATAAAAATATCCTAAGACAGTTTCACCTAGGGAGGGTCATACTGTGTTATCCCCTAACCTTTATAAGATCTCTCATGACTATAGAAGTTCTCGTGACTGCTTTGTTGTTTGCGGAGTTGAGTTTCATAGTCACGTGACTTCCCAGCATGCACTGCAGAATCCCTGACATCAGAGAAATACCCAGTCCGTTTATGTCCACCCTCTCTCCAACCTAGTATATAAATGGTTATGTTTAAGAAAATTTCAAATTCTGACAATCTTTTCAGTATTAATTTGAACAATGACATTGTTGTCCATACAGATCTCAAAGTCAAACTAAAATCGAATCACACACAACATCAACATAAAGATTTTCTTGACAACAACAAATGGGTATTTCTGAATCAATTTTCACAATATCATCAAAAATCCATTATTCTGAGCTCACCTGACTGAAAGCTAATGTCATAGAATGCTGTTCTCATTACTTATTTATCCTAAAGAACGTGTACATTCTCAAAACAAGTTGTCAAGAATTGTTTCAAAAAATTTCAAAAATATTGTTCAGGTCATATCACATAGTGTTTTCTTAGTTACTATCTAAAATAGTTTGCTCCTTGAAGAAAGTGGCAAGAATAATTAAAAGTAATACTAAAAAACGTAAATATAAATGCTTAACAGTAGACGCTGAAGAATTCATAGCATTCTAAACTTGCTGCATTGATAATTATGTATTTATTGTAATTGTACTTTCTTCAGGTTAGATTACATACTGTTATACAGCTTTGTCTGCACAGATCTTTAAGACCATTTTAAATAAAAGAGCAATGTGACTGACAAAAAAGACTTCAAACATACAAAACAAGTCTCACAATTATAAAAAGCCATAGAGGTCACACATAGCTTTTGATAGGTACATACTGAGATTCCTCACATGCCTTATAAGCCAAGAGAACAACAAACTGTGAAAAAGCGTCAGTTGAATTTCAGGATTGGCCTCACTAATACAGTGTATTAACTCCACTACACCATGATACATTCCCAGGTCCCATTCCTTACATAGCTTTGTAGGAGAAGTGATGTTACAAGCTCCATTCCTAATAGGGGCGGTGGGGTAGCCTAGTGGTTAAAGCATTCGCTTGTCACGCCAAAGACCCAGGTTCAATTCCCCATATGGGTACAATGTGTGAAGCCCATTCCTGGTGCTCCCCAGCATGATATTGCTGGAATATTGCTTAAAACGGCGTAAAACCATACCCACTCACTCACTTACCTCTAATATACTGAGTTTCTTTATCAGGCTCATAAGTTTGATTCAATGAATCTTAAACTGATTCGTCTCAAGTGAGGTTAACATATATCTGTACTAAACATGCAGCCTTGTCCGAGCAAGTCTTCAGATAATTAATAGAATCAGAAGATCATCACCAATATTTATGTGCAAAAGATGAGTACATGTACTTGGATGGGTAAGTCAATTTGTCACAGGATGTTCTAATTTTATTTAAGACACCACCCAAAAGTCAAGTAGAGTACTTGGTGCTTTAGCTTGTTTAATGGTGAAAGAACAGTGTAATTTGTTTGGGCATGTATTTCTAGCATCTGGTCATGTGAGGGAGACTAATACCAAGGTTCAGTGTGCAAAATAGTTTCTAAATTTTGCAAGCTAATCGGTCTAGCTTTGTCCAAAAGTTACTAGCCCTCACAATAATTCACTAGCCTGAAATTTTAATGTAGGAACTAAGAAAAATATTACAAAAAAGGTAAAATACCATCATTTATAAGGCCATAATCTTGCATGATTTAAAAGTGTATTATAACTTAACAAGTCGGAGAGAGTGATATATTTCAAAAATGACCCAATGAGAATTCACTAGCCAATTGGGCCCGACAGGATTTTTACTAGCCACAGGCTAGAGGGCCAGTGGCTCTTATACACACTGGCAAGGTTGCATATTGGTTTGAGATATATGGAACAGAATGGGCATACGGAACAAGCTGGATATTCGAGGATGTGAAATATAGTCCTACTATCACCTAGGCACTCAGAATATTCCTTTCAAAAGTTCAAAAATAGAGTGAGTGAGTGAATATTGCAAGAGGATATATCAGCGAGTATAAAGATCATCAACACAGTTAGAGTTAACATTCATGCATGTAAGAGATAGTTTCACCGACAGAGATATCAGAAATATCATTACAAGGGCACTCTCCATCAAGAATATATAATACAGATATTGACAAACAATCAAGCGAGCTGTACATAGCACAGAATATGACAATCCAAGATTACACAGGCAGATTTACATAACCATCCACCATTAGTGACCAGTAGATCAGGAAGTACACACAGACAGACAGAAGGGGAGATAAGCCTGGCATAGAGCAGAGACAACACACAGAGTTACAGACATACAGACAGCTATCCCTCACTCACTGCACCTGGCCCTGTCTCCTCTCGTCACTGGGGTTCTAGTCCACGGTATATGACCATGGTGTTATCATTTCCGCAACTGTTTTACCTAGTGTCTAATCGGTTTTTTAAAAGATGTATGTGTGTAAATACTGCAAAACATGAATAAATGACAGCAAGAAGGAGACGGCAAATTGATTACAACTTTATTGGAAGAGGCATGAACAAATTTAATAAAGTTGGGTTATTTCAAATAACCATTTATGATAAATTTTAACGTTAAGAGACTGATACATATTATAGGGATAATGGAGAGTGTCACATTTATTGGGGGTGTAAAAACAATATCAAATTATGACAGTCCCAAGGCCAATCTTGCACCCCCTCCCTCTTGCAATAAATAGGGCCGGGGGGATAGCCCACTGGTTAAAGCGTGCGCTTGTCAAGCCGAAGGCTAGAATTTGATTCCCCACATGGGTACAATGTGTGAAGTCCATTTCTGGTGCTCCAGGCCCCTTCTTTTGTGATTAGGATGTTTCAAATGAATGTGCATCTAAATCATATTTTCTTCATCAAAAAGATTATTTATGGCTCTTTCCTCACTTGGCATTAAATTAAATCAGTGTGGTAATATAACAGTGTACAGCAATTATATGTCACTTCAATATCTCTTACTGCTGATTCCAGTGTGGGTGAATTCCCAACACATCCAGGTGAGGCCAGGTGTAGTGTGTTGAGAGGACAGAGTCTGTATGTGTGTGACACCCGTGTCTCCACCTACCCTCCAACTGGGGAACTGAGGGGGTGAGGATACTGTCCCTGGGGGTGTCAGTGGCACTGTACCCCGGGGGTGAGGTCCGACCCAGTGGGGTGACAAGGGTGGTATAATCAGGGCGGAGTGAGGCACTACTCCATGGACTCTGCATGCGTTCTCGCACCAGCTTGTAGATTACTACAGGGGGACCACAACAAAAGGTTTATACATTGAAGTCCCAAACAACTATGACTGATTTCAGACAAAAGCACTACTTTCTAATGCACTAAGCTCCATTCACTAGGTGAATGCTCATAGCACTGACAAATATAATCTGATTATTACTACCCTGGATAACCCAAGCTGCCTGTGAGGTGCTAGAAGGTTATTAGTCCAGGGTTCGAAATACCCCATATGTTAGTGTGCCATGGCACGGCAAATATTGAAATGGCACGGCTAAAAAATGTTCTCGGTGCCCTTTTGACACGCCTGATTTTTCGGTGACATAACTCACATTTAGTCATTTAATCCCCAAAACAATTATTTTTTTCCAAATTAAAGAATACCATACATATTTGAATGCTCATAAACCCATTTTTTTATTGAACAATAAATTTCAAATGATCATCATCATTGTCATTTATTCTAAAAACATGTGGGCATACTCAATTTCTGAAAGGCACACCTAAAATATTTGTCTGGTGCCCTAAGGCACACTTGGAAAAAAAATATTTCTATCCCTGTAGTCACATGACTGGGTACACACAGTTGTATAGTCAAAAGCAAATTATTCTTTCAATCAATTACAAAAATATAACAAAACGAAAAACATGTAAGATAAACTTAGATTATTTGAAATGGAGGGACAGCAATGGTGTTTTGTAATCATGTTTATATCATGTCAATCATTATTACTATCAGACAGCATAAACTACTTGTTTTTGATCAGCAATGCATAATAAGTACAAACTTATAATGGCGTCTTACGCTTTACAAGAGGTGTAAACTAACCCAATCCACACAGAGACCTACCTCTTGAATCAAGCTGTGATCCTCCCAAAGGCCTCTGGTTCTCAAGATGGCTGTGTTCTCTTCGATCACGCTCTTTACTCCGATCTGATGAGTAAATATCACGTGACAACTGCTCCCTCTCTAATCGAGTTCGTTCATAATGACGACTATATTTACCAGAGTCTGTGACTAGTTTCTCTGCTACCTGTCCATCAGGAAGTGACCTATTTGGGCGAGTCTCAATTTCTTGCTCTGACCTTGACCTTTCAAGACCCACTGATGACCCTTTGCCTGTTTTGTAATTATCAAGATATGTTCCGTCTATTCGTCCACTGCGGGTATATTTATAATCCCTGGACTCTTTGTCAGACCCAAAGCTTCTTTCAAGCGAGGAAACATTGTCTCTTGTAAGAGGAACTTTTTCTGGTGTCCTTGAACTTGGTCGTCTCAAATGGTCATCTGCAAACAGTTAAAATTCACTTCATGATCTCCATTTGCAAGTCCCTTCACAGACATCATGAATCGATAATAGCAAATCAAAATCAAAGATGAAAGGAAAAATTTCCTCTGAACCTGTTCATACCTGCTCTTAGAGTAGTTTCCCTCGAAATTTTGATATCGCGATTGTAAGACAGATCTCCTGGACGCATGCCTCTTCTAACATCTGATCCTTCCTTCAAGCGTATATTCTCCTCGTTCAGCTGGTAGTTACGATCCCGTAATGCCCGGAGGTCATCCTTGAGTTGCTGCATCTCTATTCTGGATCTATAATCCCCTTCTCCATCACCCAGTCGAGATATCTGCAGATAATTTGTAATTTGGGACCATTAGTGTCTCTTTTGATGAAGCTGACAGCAGAAACATAGAAATTTTATTAGCCAGGGCACAAGCAACACATTCACTTAAGCACCACAATTTGCTGTGCACAGCTGCATTCCTTGGGCACCTAAGAAACCTATGACTGTGGGTACAAAACCTGGTTTGCATGTTAATGTTTTCAGGTTTGTGTTGTCGTAAGAGGTGACTAACAGGATCTGGTGGTCAGGATCGCTGACTTGGTCGACACATGTCATCGTATCCCAATTCTGTAGATAGATGCTCATGCTGTTAATCACTGGATTGTCTGGCCCATACTCGATTATTTACAGACTGCCGCTATATAGCTGGAATATTGTTGAGTGCGACATAAAACTAACTCACTCACGCACTCTGGCTTGTCAGCACCATATCCATGCCCATGAATTTCACGAGAGTTGTTAACATATGAGCCATGAATCACATCAATCTTTCCTCTCACATCAAGCAGGCTTGATGAAGTGAGTGAGTATGGTTTTACGCCACTTTTAGCAATATTCCAGCAATATCACGCTTTAATCACTAGGCTACCCAAACCGCCCCTCAAATAATCATGCCATGACATAGCTGGAATACTGTTAACAGTGGCATTAAACCTACACTCACATTAACCACATCAGTCACCTGTACCTTCTCCTGGAGACGCCGGTTGTCCTGCTCCAGATCATGGAAGGAGTGGACTGGATTCTTCCTCAGGGACTCGTTCTCCTGCAGCAGCTCCTTCACACGTTTCTCCGACTTCGTCAACTGCAACATCGCCGTTTCATTTGCCTCCTGCATGTCCTGGATATGACCTTCAAGGTCATCTGAAATAAGACATCACCTTTGGTTTTGGCATTCTTGATGGATGTGTCAAAGATATTTGAGTATGTTGTGAGGAAAGGCATGAATATGTGATGTGATGTGTATTTGCCAAGGACCACACCTTTGTCTGAAGGTGTTTATTAGTCAGTGGTCTGTAACTGAAAAACACACATGACAATAATCACATCAATCATTTATGGTATAATTTCAAGGGTGTCAAGAGGTTTTTGACATACCAATGTACTGAACAAAATGACCTTCCCCTAATGTCTGCATGACCTTCCCCAAGGGTAGAAAACCATTTTGGGCAAATTTGTTGATATAGGTCCAACTTTTAAAGCATGCCTTATGGCCATATTCTGGCAGAATTTCTGCAACTACTCCCAAAAATTACACAGAACAATAAAACACTTCCTACCAATCTTTCGTTGTAGCGCCAAAGGGTTGTTGGGGGAGTAGTTGTCGATGCCAACTGAGTTCCCCTTTGCCCCCATAATGGTCAGTTGGTCCTGTAGTTTGACCACCTCCACAGCTAGAATCTCCTTCTCACTCAGCAGTTGATTGTACTTCTTCTCATACTGAAACACAAGCATCAGTGAATATATTATTGTTGACATCTATATTTACACATACAGAATTTACTTGTAGATAAAACCCTATTATATTCTCACTTTTACCAGCCCCTACTACAAGCATTAGCTGCCAGCAACCCATTCTGGCTCCAACCTTCCAAAGAGGACCAACCATCAGATGCCTGTTTGACCGAAGTGGCACAACGCTCTCACCTCCCTGCTGCTGCTGCTCTGTTCCAAGTTACCCTTGGTGTGTTCTAGTTCCTCCATCAAAGATCGGTTGATGTCCTTAAGATCTTGCACCTGCTCTGTCAGCTGGTGCACCTCCTTCTCGCGGCTGCTCAGGAGCTTCTGTAGATTCACTATCGCGTCCTCGTAGTCATCAACCTTCTTGGCATCCTATCCCAGCGACAAATTCATCATTAATTTTCAAGAAGAGTTCAGTTTAGGCTACAGCAGTGTCATAGTTAGACACAATGTTCCGTGGATGAAATATTTAGTTTGAGTCCAAGTCTAAGCCTGTTAATGTTTTATACAAAATTCAGCATTTACAGACAAATGTAAATTCTATCATTCTCCATCTGTTTGAAAGACTCTGCAAGTCTTTTCAACCTCTGTTGACAACAATCAGCTTGTTTTCTTAACACCCTTATCTCTAATGATGCATAATCATGGACAACTAAATATTATTTTACAAACTGAGCTTGAACATTCATCTGCCACATTACAACATGTTACAATGTACTAAGTAAAATATCATATACACAATATATTCTCCAGTCAACCCAAACAGATCTGAACCACATTCCATCACAGAAAACAGAATACTTGCCTCTCTGAATCCATTCTCTGTCAGGGCACCTGACACAGATGCAGGCGTAACAGTTCTGCTACTTGCTCTGGAAGCAGACCCTGACCTTGTCGTGACAAGAGGACTTCTGATATGAGGAGAAGCCCCTCCTGCAGGAAGCCGGATGTGATTGTCTGGAGTGGAGAGGTGTCTGTCCAGGGCCTGTGTGGAGAGGGGCGGCATGCTGGATGTACTCCCGGGGCGATCCTGCAATATCGGTGGCAGCAGTGGGTCACTCTGGTGCAGTCCTGTTAGTGATGCTGCTCTTCTCGGCCCTAAGTCACCTCGTGGGTAGTCGAGGTACTGCGACAGCTCCTGTTCACTTGTGATGCTGTGTGGTCTGCTGGAACCACTGTGTTGACTCCCACCAGCGCTGCCAGGTCGAACTGAGATTTCAGTGCTGCCTCGAATCTCCTGACTTCCATAAAGTCTTTCATGACTGCTTCTGAAGGATTCTAGGATGGCTTCGTTCTGTGGCGTCTGCCTTTGAGAACCTGGCAAACTGAGGTCTTCTTTCAATAAATCCCTCTGTGGTGTGTGCCTGACAGAGCTGTGAGCTGATCGAGAAGGGCTTTCAAGAACATCCTCAATAGATTCAGTTTTACTTCGGTTCGATCCTCTTGAATATCTCTCCAGAATATCATCCACAGCTTCAGTCAAAGGTGTGTGGGAAGACCCATGAAGTGAACCCTGATTGGATGGTGGTCTGCTGCTGACGTCAACTGGTGTCTGCCGCAGTGAACCTTCTAAGGACTGTGACCCTGACCTTCCCCCTGACTGGTACACCTCTCCGCTGAGCATGTCGCCCGCAGTTGGAGTATGTCTGTTCGAACTGTGGTAACTACCAGAATGTTCACTACCTGGTCGCGAAGAAGGCTTAGAGTAGCTGTTTCTCAGAATATCCTCAGCTGCATTACTTTGTGGAGTTTGTCTTGCTGAACTATGATGAGACCTGTCTGAAGCCATATCCAGCTCATCGAGAATACTGGGCTTGCCTCCGTCTGTTGCATCCCACTGCAGAGTTTGTCTGGCAGATCCTTGAGACGATCCATGAACTGAGCCATGGTTGCTATGGTTACTGAGCACCGTGTCCTCATTGTCTACATAGTGTTCAGTCGCCACATCCCCAATTGGTGTATGCCGAACTGAACCATTTAATGAATTTGAAAGTTCTGATTTCAATGTCATGTTGACTTCATGCTCCAAGCTAGTATCCAAAGACTCCTTGTGCAGCATCTGTTGACGGACTAGATCTTCATATTTGGAGGTCACATGGATACCATTCTCTGCACCACCATCCATCTTGGGCAGTCCTGCAAGATCTGTGTTAATATCTCGGTACGTGTCTATGTGTTTGGCTTGGAGATGTTCTTGAAACTTTGCTTCTACTAATTGTGTTTCATTTGCCTTGACCACATCTTCAATAATGTCTGGAATTCAGAATGCATTTTGATATATTTAAGATTTGGTCCATATTGCATATAATCAGTAACAGAATCAGAACACAATCTGTGTTTCTATACAGGTTGAAGAGAGAGTATTTTACCAAAGTATTATTTGGTTCCACCAAACCAGGACAAACTTAAATGTTCGTCACCACCTCAGATGTGTCTACTTAACAGGTAAATATGTTTTTATAATAATACTTAAGAAATGAAATGGCTATTTAAAAGTTGTAATTTCATTATACTTAGTAGCCAATCAGACTACTTCTGTATATCCTAAAGCCAATATTTCCACTCTCTGTAAAGTAAAATATACAATAAGAGCTAAAAAATTAATTTCACAAACATCATGCTAAAGAGCAGTTAAAATTTCAAATAGGGGAAATAAGTATATTTTGAAATATCATAAGTTTAGAGATTTTCATGTCATTGAACAGAGCTTGAAAAAAGGTTTAAGTAAAGGGTCTGGTTTTCTCCATAATTTCAATGTAGGCAATAAAATATTAAGTCTGTTCCTAGATTAAAATAATGCTCCTGCAGCAAACCTCAAAGATATAGTTAATTCATTACACCGTAGACGCTGGGTATCTTAAAATCCCTGGCCATTTTCAATTTCCACTCTTGTTATGTACAATACAGTGGGTTATCTTTACTGAGATAGGCAGATATAAATAGCTGCACAAATCGAACTTATCGATCACAAGAAGTGTTAGCGTAACGAACGTGTAACCTGATTAATATTTCAAACACAAGCATGCACACAAAAATACCTCTCCGTTTCATCTTACTGACCACTGTACGTGACCACGTCCGTGCTAAGTTCAATCTGACATTTAAGTAAACCCGACCACTGTCCACCTCGCCGACATGTTGTAACTAAGCAAGTTCCAACACGCGAGTTACGCGCATATACGCGATGTTTCCACAATGACACCAGAGTGATACCATAACACACACTTTACAAATGAACTATTACGTTTTTTCGCAACAAGCCTTACCTTCCTTCCACAGCGATTGTATGAGATAGCTCAGCTATTTGTGATCGAGCCACGGCAAATAGATTGTTTACAAATTACCGCCTGTCGTCACGGCATGTGCTTGCCGGTTGCTGTAAAAGTACCACTGCTCAGTACAGGAAACGGAATCGGATTGGTAAAACGGTGTCACGTAATCAGCGCCCATTGATATTCTAATTAGGTTGTATGTACCGTTAATGAACTGAGGTTTCAGGGCGAACTTGTACAATGGCGAGTAGATTATTCCTTGGTGATCAAATATCGCCCAGGGACCCAGGTCTAGTCACTGAGCTGATTATTGATTCAATGTTCGTATAAATGCATTTGAACACCACATTACCGCTATGTAATTATTTGTACCTGTCGGGGATAGTGAAAGCTGGATAAATGCGCTACCTAAGCCTATCTACCTACTCAAATGTAGGAATTATTTTAATCGACATGGCTAAGATTGCTAAGTACTCACTTGGTCTTTATATTTCAAAAGGTTTAACTTAACGACTTTTAAATATATCCTCTGTTAATGTAAGCCGGGATCGCCATGTAGTTAACACCATAAAAGCCTATTATTCCCGGGGTGAGGAAATGCAAGCTGGCGAAATTTAGAGGAAACTCTCCGTAGTCTAGCCGCCATTCTCTTTATCCCTTGAATTGAACTGTGATAAATCTTTATAACCGTAGTTATATCGTGGATCTATTAGCTCAGTGGCTACTTCACTGCTGGATTAAAAGGTATACAATGTATACTTGAAAGCTGTATTTGACGAAAAATTACAACGTTACTCTGGGCTGAAAACAGTCCACGAAAATACTGCAAACCGAAGTCAGGCGCGTGGCAAGCCAATTTTTTCGTGTAAGCCCGAGAGGTTACAAAGCTTTATATTTATAGATAGCATTGAGGGCTTGCCCAACTTTCATGGTGATCTTTAGCAGAAATCATGCGTAAGCCCGGGCTTTTTATATATTGGTAGCTACGCCCCTGGAAGTTCGAAAAGACACTTATGCTACCCGTATCAAATACAACGCCATCCACAAACTATTTCTTGATTATTCGTTCTTATCTAACATGGGTGTATACTTTCTTTTGCCCGGTAGTGTTGTCACGCTGCCATGCGAATGATTGAAAATACAATAATGAACAGTTCCTATAATGATTAACATTTCAGCAATCAGTATTTGAAGTATTTATGATGACAAGACATATATCATCTCCGGCTTGGAACGAGAGAAGAACTGGAAGCTCCTGCCATAGCACCTGATCCCCAACATAATTAACCTGCCGCCAAATTGGCTTTAGACATGCACCTATCAGGCGAGGGTGTCCTGTCCATATGAGACATGTTTAACCTTATGACGTGTTTCATGTGTTTGGTAATTCCTCGAAGTTTTAGATCTACGTATTGTGATAACTCTTTAAAGTTGACATGAAATTATCTATATGTATATAAACAGGTTTAAGTTGTCGAACAAAATGGCTGATTCTGTATCACGTTGACACCAGAAGTAGTTTGTTTTTGTTTTGTTTTTGTTGTTGTGTTTTATTTGGTTTTGTCTTGATTTTGATTATTTTAGGGGAAGTGGTAATTTGTACGTAAGTTTGTTATTTATAAGGGAAGGTGGATGGGTGGTTTAAAGGGAAATGTACTAAACGCCTTACCGTCTTTGATGTAGAGGTCGACCTCGAATGTGTAGGGTCGGACATCGTGATCCTCCACAGGGTAGGTAGCGCCCTCTACGACCAGGTTGCCATGGAAATCTCCACTCGGCACCTGCATCTCCACGGAGTAGAAAACGGCTTGCGCGTCATTCCACGACAACACCACTGGTTCGTTCTGGAGACAAGTACAGAAATGTCTGTTATGCATATACCATAGTCTGTACATAGGACACTATTCGTTCATATCCACCGACATGTAATGGAAGGGCATAACAATGATACATGGTATGTAAGGTATATATGACATATTATGGTATATATGACATTTTATAAACAAATAACACATAGCCCATTAATAATATTCATACTGTGAATGATCAACCGTACATATAGTGCTGTACAACCCAACAATGTGCAGAGGAAACGAATTTTCTGTCATATTCGATACACCGACACCTCTTGCACAACATTTGTGGATTGTTTGCTGTTTTACGCCGCACTCAATATTCCAGCTATATGGCGACTGTCTGTAAATAATCGAGTCTAGACCAGAAAATCTAGTGATAGACATCATGAGCATCGATCTACGTGATTCAGTTACGATGACGTGTCAACCAAGTCAGCGAGCCTGACCACCCGATCACGATAGTCGCCATCATGACGCGCGCGCGCAGGCAAGCAGGCACGCAGGCACACACACGAACACACACACACACACACACACACTTCTCAAAAAGCTTTATCCGTCCCTCCCTGGACCCTTACGAGTAACTATTCCGGAAACCATCAGAGCAAAGCAAGTGAGTGTCAAGGCACAACAATTTAAAGTCACTCTCTCTCTCTCATTATCATTTAGACTGGATAGCATCCCGTTTCTGAAAATGAAAGTTTAAGATACTGGTTGACAGAGATCTCCTGATCCACAGCTGAGGCACCAGTGAGTGATTTTAGCTACTGGTCAGTGTTTTGAACATACATCACGGCACATAAACGTGAGTGAGTTGGGATTTACGCCGCTTTTAGCAATATTCCATCAATATCACGACAGGGGACCGGCGTATAAACGTGATAAAGAAGATATTGTGGCGGGGTAGCATAGAGGCAATTGGGATAGCCTACGATCACATGTGTCAAGCAAGTCAGCGAGCCTGACCACCCGATCCCGTTAGTGGCCTCTTACGACAAGCAGGGATTGCTGAAGATAAATTCTAACCCGGTCTTCACGGGTCTTGGACACTCGGGCTTACGATCATTGGCGTTTCTGCATCAAAGGGACGCAACTCTGTACAATGATTTGCGAAGCACAAGACAAATGCGCTACCCGTAACCCTGAAAATCCAGCGAGATTGGATTACGATTGAAACCATTTTATTGTTAATCTTTTTCAATCTTCCTCAAGTTATTTTAGACTAAAAGAAAATGTGTGGAAACTGTGATTTTTAGTCCAACCGCGCACCGAACACGTATGCATCCGATTCTTAAAGGCTTTGTTAGCCAAGATAGTTAAGCTTTAGCCGTTGAGCATCATGAAATATTAATACCCTTAACGATCTGGTATCGGTTCTAAATAATATGAAGACTTATTATAAATTCATACCCTCATATCTTCTCTTTGTAATAAAACCGATGACATATCAATACCCCCTCCTTCACGTGTATAATTGATGACAATAGCCTACCATTGTCTTTGTATTTCCGTTGTGGTAACGCTGCTACCTGAAATGCGACTGAATAACGACGAAGATATAATACTAGCAACTCCATCATCGGCAACGACATACAAAGAGTATTTGATCAGTGAAACGGGTATCTGTTATGGTTGAACGATAGTCAGCGGAGCCTGCCGGTGTACAGTCGCAGGTCTTTACAATCATTAGTTTCAATGTTTACTTTAGTTCTGAACCGCCATTGCATACATCTTTACACAGTCGATAAAAATGCAATCAATTAAAGTTTCAATGTTTACTTTACAGACGCTGCATACATCTATACCTTACATGGCCGAGGAAAACGTAAATAATAATTCCGCCATTTTCTGTGTTCTTTACATAAGTAATAGGGAAATGCCATAATATAACCCGTTGCAGGTATACTACATTTTTGAAGAGATACAGTTTAGAGAGAGACCAGTTTAATAGTGACTTTCCTGTAGACCCATTTGGATTTAAAGAGCCACCATATTCCAGTGGACTGGTTTGACAAATAGTTTGTTGTGTCAACAGTTATAGAGAAGGCCCACACAATCAAAGTTATAATATACTTACAGTTGTCGATAAAGTTTTGTATTCGTTGATTGCAAACGGGTGTTGCCCCAAACACATATGAATGACTGCAAGAGCAATATTATCAATATCACTGCGGGGTACACCAGAAATTGGCTTCGCATATTGTACCCATGTGAGGAATCCAACCTGGGTTTTAGGCGTGACGAGCAAACGCTTTAACCACCGCCCTAAATGTAGCACTAAACACTATTTGGTATATTGCGCGCGGGTCTGGGTATGGTGATAAACACGGTGATCACTATCGTGCTACATCGCAGATAACAAACCCGTTCTTGGGATACAGGGTGGGAAGAGGTACGCAGTAATCACTTTATCCACCCAGTACAATACCGAGTGGGTAGTGTATCACGAGGGCGTAAATCCTCACGGATCTATCTAACACTGTGTCTAATAGCACAGGGGTGACATACCGCCTTCCTGACGTGGTATAACACACGACACAACATTTATATTCTGGTGAGGTTCACGCCAATATGTGCCGGCAGTATGACATAGCCTTCAAAATGACCGTTGATTTATATCCGGTGATATATGCGATTTATCAAATATATACACATGAACATTAATCATGCACCTACCACTTTACAAATATGTGCTTCATCAAAAATGATGTGATTCATTGTTGGAAATAAATAATATACTGGGTCATCAATTTTGTTAAAATTGTGGCTTAAAAATTAAGGGGGGGGGTTTGTCGTCGTTGATTTTGTACATGACAGGCAGGGCCTAGCCATACATTATGAACGGTCCCTCATGTAGATTAACACGGCACTAACAACATGCAATATGAAGCTGCCAAAAGCAATTGGTGCTGATATATTGGCGTGATGCGTAGATGTCTATAGACTTTAATTTTAACAAGGAAGGGGTCCCAGTGTCTGGGTCAGTTCATTCAGGTTTTATACTGGAAATCCCAATTGGTATTCCAGTTGGTTTAGTTCCGGGTTATCATAATATTTATGCACTGGATTTTGAATCTGACCAGCCGTCTGTATTTAACACAGGGATCCTCTACCATTCCTGATATTGTGGAATGGTGTTCCGGGCCGATTCTATTCAGGGTTTAAACTGTAAAGTCTTTACCTCTGCCTATCTTACGATCGCTGCCATGACTATCTTGACTCCTTTTTGTCGGATACCCGTGAAGATCCGGGTTAGAATTGATCTTCACCAACCCATGCTTGTCGTAAGAGGTGACTAACGGGACCAGATGGTCAGACTCGCTGACTTGGTTGACACATGCCATCGTATCTCAATTGGGTAGATCGATGCTCACACTGGATTGTCTGGTCCAGACAGCCGAGATATAGCTGGATATAGCTGACTGCGGCGTTAAACCAACCAACCAACCTTTTTGTCGGAATAATGTAGCATCTCAAGGAATAATTTTGTAATTTGTACCCGAATAACCTACGTTAAATAAGAATTATTGTATCTTGTGTCTATTGTATAGTTTAAAATAGACCAACGGCCAGATCAGCGATACGGTTCTTGAAGACCCTAGTCTGCCGTACTTACAGGCTTGTTGGATGAGAAGAAGATGACTTCAGCAGACGTGGTGGGGACGGTCTTCGACCACCGGTACCTGCATACGGCAGCAGGTCGACTCTCCATGGCGGGAAGTTCTTCCTCCTCGGTCTTCGTGTCCTCCTTTCCTTCTGACACCGCAGCCTCGGACGAGGCAGTTTCCCCAGCGTTCGCCTTGGGGCCGTCCTCTGAAGAGGAAAAGTGTACTCATTAGACCACGAATCTATACTGAGGGAAAGAAATAAGAGAGCACATGAAAGCACAAGTGTTCTTTATTCTTTTCCAGTTTTCTTCACAAACTTTGTATCGAACTGTGGGTGAGAATCTGAGAATAAATAAAGGAACACTGCGATGAAGTGGTGTTCCCTTATTTGTTTCACTCAGTATACCTACCCTTCAGAACGTGTATACACGTTGACATGAAAACAACGCTTTCTAATTAACTACACGTGACATTTGTTTGACAAAATTCAGTCTATTTGGAAGTGTCCGATAACAGGGGGCGGTGGGGTTAGCCTAGTGGTTAAAGCGTTCGCTCGTCACGCCGAAGGCCCGGGTTCGATTCCCCACATGGGTACAATGTGTAAAGTCCATTTCTGGTATCCTCCACCGTGATATTGGTGGAATCTTGCTAAAAGTTCGTAAAACTAAACTCACTCACTTGGATAACGGCTTGTGTCACATGATACTCAAGTAGCCTACAGGTCATCCCATTGTTTCAGCTCTCATGAATTTACATGCTAATGTCGGTCAGTAATTAACTCTACTGGTGTTGCAATTAGGTGCTTATCGCGTCATGGTGTACGTCTTTGAACACGTGGTAATAAGCAGTGAAGCCATATCAAGGCGTGCCTGTACAAGTCATGTCAATAATAGCGGTGTTAGTGGCAATTTGAGTAAGTGAGTTTAGTTTTACGCCGCCTTTTAGCAATATTCCAGTAGTATCACGGCGGGGGGACACGAGAAATGGGCTTCACACATGTGGGGAATCGCACCCGGGTCTTCGGCCTGACGAGCGAACGCTTTGACCACTAGGCTACCCCACCGCCTCAGTGTCAATTTGAACCTGGCCTGCCTGGACACTCGTTTGATATACAGCATCATAAATATTGTTGGCAACAAATGAAAGGTGATCGAGTCTTGGATGTCAGTGTTGGCATACTCTAAACTTCGTGTAGTCAGGTTAATGTAGTGGGCAGCTGTTAAGGTGGTTGTAATATAACGCCCAACACTGATGGTCGCTCGGTGCGACTATATAGCAAGGCACATTGGCTCTGCATGTATAGAAGGACTGAGGTGGGTTTGACACTGATTTTAATAATATTCCAATAATGGGCTTTACATGCTGCCATCGGGGGAACCAGCGTTAGGTTTTACATCTTCAAACATGTGGAGAATCGAACATTCGGCGTACCAATAAACGTAAATACCGCTGGGCTACCTCATCCGTTGTTCACTGAACGTAAACGAACCATCAACTCATGTTTTGAGCTACAAGAACTGCAGACTGGAAAGTTCGTGCAGTGTGACACATAGTCCTTTACATATAAATTCATGATATTACCAGTCTTTCTTCAGAAACCAAAAATCTTAAGTCATTTTCTAACAACATTACCGACTGCATGAGTCAGGGGAAAGTGTGGACAGTTTTCATGGTTAGAGCCTTGACCAGACAAACCAGTGGTCAATGGTGTGAGCAACATAGAAGCTGTCAGGCTTTGATGACGCAATGGCAGTTACAGAATAGATTTCGTATACAGTTAAACATGTTTAAGCGAATGGAAGGGAGTGTAGACATTTGTTCGTAATATCCGAAGTTCGTTACACTTATACTACTTATCGGTTGTCTCTACTCCGCTGCATATTGGCAATGATACTGCAAATGAGCATCAATGAAGCACCACCTCCGATTTCGGGCAAGTGCTTGAATATTAAACAAATGCGTGATTTGTTGTTGGAAACACAACAAAAGAGCAGTAAACTGACAAACAGACGATCGGGCACTGCCATCTCACAAATACTGAAGCTGAGATTAGCAAGCTCTTTCCAGAGAAAAGGGTTGGTTATGAACTTAGGAATCACCACTGACTCTGCCGTCTGTGTCTGGAGTATCCTCCCACCTCACGGGTGACATTCATGAGGCGATTGATTTATCGCCACAATAGGATCCTAGTGCACTGCCTGGATGGTTTCATTCAGATTATTTAAACTGGAGGGTCTCTAGAGCTCTCACTTGGAGGCTAACCTAATCCTAAAGCTGTTCCATCAGTTCCGGGTTTACCATTATTTTTAGGGACTGGATTTTGAATTGAGTTGTGCTTCAATAATCCTGTTCATATTACGCGTTGGCTATTAAGCATGAAACAGCTTAAATCCGTTTTCCCATACAGAAGAAGGCCAATACTATTCAGTGATTAACACCGTCAGGCATTAATAGTGTTAACTGTGCCTTTCCGTTAATATGAAATTATGTCCCAGTAATCTGTAGTTAATACCCACCAGCACACCGGAAGCCCATGCCGTGATGTCAGATTAACATCGTGACGTGAATGAATGAGTTACAACACCGGTGTAGATAACCCGACTGCCATCCACCTGTACGCATACTAATCGATAATCTTCTTTGTCGTGTTGATGCTGTGGCACTATTGTCTGCGACGCGGGTGGACCATTGAGTTCTTATCGACTTATAAACACCTAGCTTTACTGTTTAATTAAGCTATACGTCCGCAAAATTAGGGCATATCAAACCATTGATTCACAAGTGCCTGTTCACATATCTGCCCCTTCTCACTGCAAATATATATATTTGTTTTTATTGAATTATTATTCCGTTGCCTAGATACTGGTGCAAATATAGATATCACACCTTGACATTCAATGCAGTATATTTATCGCTTCGAATTTTATGTCAAACCTAATATGATAAAACATTAGTTGCTTGTCATTTACCACAAACCTTTTACAGACAGTTAATAACGCATGAATGATTGAAAGGATCTCTATGGAGTCAAGAGTATGTACCCACAATTCAAGAATGCATCCAACAGAATTACCTTTATGACTAACAGCATTGCTGTCGATAATGTTTAAAACTATTTCATGTTACGTAAATAATGAACAACAGCGCCTACAAAGATAAGATTGAAATCAGAATTTTGAATTTTTCTCAAACGGAAATACCTCCCGGGCATAATGTCGCCTTGGCAGCAATATAAATAATATACGAAAACACGAGAAGACTACCGACCTTAAATTAAGAGCAGCAGCATTTCACGTATAGCTTTTAAATTTAAGATACATGCATATTAAGATCTGGTCCTAAATGTAGTTAAATCTACATCACAATTTGTTGTATATTTCACCACCATAACAATGTTTAATTTTGACGCAAGAAAGTAAATTTTGTATTAGAAGCAATTGTTTTAAAATCCACGCCCAAAACATATAAATATGTAACATACGCTATATTGTTCTGCGTTCACATGTAAATATGTAAAAATATTTACCAATCAGGGACGTCATAACGTGAAGAAATGTCAGCATCGAAATCAAGATGCCTCGAAATATGGGATAATCCGAAATGTGAACGCTGGATGGAGGAAGTACTTCTCCTTCAGCCTGTGCCGTATGCTCTGTGCTCGGTTAGGGCCGGCCAGACCTTTGACAGCCAGCAGAGGTCGATACACCCTATGTAAGACGTTAAGTGGGGAGACATATGCATTATCACATGACCGTGTATGTCCGGCTCGTGTATGTCTCTATTGATCAATAAAGCCCCAAGTCAAGTAACAATGATACGCGGTTAAAATATATATATCATATTTATTCATAACTGACAGGTCACGTGACCCTGGATATTAAGATTTATAACCCGTTAAGCTGTCGAGTCATATGTCGAGTTGGATATTAATGTATTTCTTGCATGTTGGTTTATAATTGAATCAGGGATTTGTAAACGGTGAATAATGAGACATGCTTTGTTTTGTGTAAGAAAGATTATTGCATTTTATTGTATAAGCACTATAGATATGGTATTGCCTGTTATGTAGTATATAATCACCCGGAACTTATGCTAATCAGGACAAATGCAGATTAACAGATTAAAGACGTTGACAAATTACCCTATAGATTAAGTCTACTTTTTTCCATATACAACATCCAATTTAGATTTTAGCTATGAAATATTGCATGATCTGTAGCCATGGTCCATTATAGCAGACCCAGTTCAGCTTTTAGCTATGAAATATTGCATGATCTGTAGCCATGGTCCATTATAGCAGACCCAGTTCAGCTTTTAGCTATGAAATATTGCATGATCTGTAGCCATGGTCCATTATAGCAGACCCAGTTCAGCTTTTAGCTATGAAATATTGCTTGATCTGTAGCCATGGTCCATTATAGCAGACCCAGTTCAGCTTTTAGCTATGAAATATTGCATGATCTGTAGCCATGGTCCATTATAGCAGACCCAGTTCAGCTTTTAGCTATGAAATATTGCATGATCTGTAGCCAAGGTCCATTATAGCAGACCCAGTTCAGCTTTTTAGCTATGAAATATTGCATGATCTGTAGCCATGTACTGTTATAGTAGACCTATTTAGCTTTTTCCGCTATGAAATATTGCTTGATCTGTAGCCATGGTCCATTATAGCAGACCCAGTTCAGCTTTTAGCTATGAAATATTGCATGATCTGTAGCCATGGTCCATTATAGCAGACCCAGTTCAGCTTTTAGCTATGAAATGTTGCATGATCTGTAGCCATGGTCCATTATAGCAGACCTAGTTCAGCTTTTTAGCTATGAAATATTGCATGATCTGTAGCCATGGTCCATTATAGCAGACCCAGTTCAGCTTTTAGCTATGAAATATTGCATGATCTGTAGCCATGGTCCATTATAGCAGACCCAGTTCAGCTTTTAGCTATGAAATATTGCATGATCTGTAGCCATGGTCCATTATAGCAGACCCAGTTCAGCTTTTAGCTATGAAATATTGCATGATCTGTAGCCATGGTCCATTATAGCAGACCCAGTTCAGCTTTTAGCTATGAAATATTGCATGATCTGTAGCCATGGTCCATTATAGCAGACCCAGTTCAGCTTTTAGCTATGAAATATTGCATGATCTGTAGCCATGGTCCATTATAGCAGACCCAGTTCAGCTTTTAGCTATGAAATGTTGCAT